AAATCACAGGTAGATGGAATCTAGTGAGAGCCAAGGCAGAGTCTGAGCTGGAGTCCACTCTAAGAAACCGACATAATCAACTCTACCTTCTCTGAGAGAAGCCATGTAAAAGTAGGCTCAGTTTCCTGGGTACTGCATATGAATATATATAAAAGCATTAAAACCCTATATAAAAATGGAGCCCCATTATCTGTTGTCAAAAGAAAGGTCATTTCAAGTGGACCCACTTACGTTCCAGTTGTAGAAATCAGAAGATAGTTCTTGATGACCACTGTCATCAACATGTGAAGGGTGAGTACAGGCATGATAATGAGTGAAGCATTTGTTTTTGCTAGAGGTAATTGGAAACTTGGATTAATGGAAATATAAAAATGAAAACTGTAATATCCACAGGCAGAAATTCCACATGGATGGGCTTAGGGAGGTTGGAAAACTGAAGAAGAAAGTCACAATGATTGCCAAAGCATGAGACTTCCAAAGCCACCTGAGAGGGAAACATAAAATAGGAAAAGAGTGCAAGTCATTGAACAAGTATTTCAGCATATGAACAGTTAGGCAAGACGTCAAGGGCAGAGGAAAAGCATCCCCTCAGGCAGCCCCCATCCTGGACCAGCCACATGAAAGTTTTGTGCCTTTGATCTGGGCTATGCCTTACTCCATGGCATGGCCCAATGATCACCAAGGTGCCACCTGGAATACTGTCCCTCATACACACTCACCTCCTGGAGGCTTCTGGAATGAGCCATGGCAGAGGGTCGGCCAGTACTCCCAACTTTGTGGAGYTAAGAAGAGCTCTTTGGAGAGGTGGAGAATTGCAGACCACACCTTTGTTGTAATGTGGACTTGATGTGTAACCAGGCGCTGTTGAATCCAATCTCTTTGTCTAAATTGCCCCGATTTTCAATAATTTCACCTCTAGTTGTGAGGATTAGGCCACAATACACTGAATAAGTGGGTTCCAACCAGTTACAGAAGGCTCTCTGGGGAGCTGGGCATGGTGGCACATGCCTGTAATCTCAGCAGCTTGGAAGGCTGAGGAAGGAGGATCATGAATTCAGAGCCAGCCTCAGTGAAAGAGATTTACTAAGAAGCTCAGTGAGATCCTGTCTCTACATAAAATAGGGCGAGGGATGTGGCTCAGTGGTTGAGTGCCCCTGAGTTTAATCTTTGTTGTCCCCCACTTAAAAAAAAAAACGTTGGGGAGTGGGTCTCAGGCTTTGGATTTATAACAGCTTTCACGGAGGTTATATAATGTAGAATTAGTGTAGAACAAGTTTTATGGGCCAAGCTCTGGAATGGATGTGCATGCACTTGAATCCAGGCTATTATATATATTTATATATATTATAGTATTTGATGTTGATCTACTGATGGAATATTTCCTACATAAGGCAAGTATGTGCTTTAATTAATCTGCAGCTACATATTGAAAAACAGTCATCAGAAAATCATGCATGTGAAGCTAGATCATTACATGACCCTTTAGAACATGTAGATCTATAAGGCAAGATAGTAAGAGAAATAAAGTGAAACGTTCATGAACTTGGGATGCTAATTAAAAATCTGAGGTGAATGTTGGTCTAGAATCTGACTTCCATAACAAGACCCCTACAGCACAAGAATTAAAAATCCAGAATCAATAAATGGGATAGATTTAACCTAAAAAGCTGCTTCTCAGCAAAAGAAACTATAATGTGAAGAGAGAACCTACAGATTTGTATAAAGTCTTTACCACACGTACCTCAGATAAAGCATTAATCTCTAGGGTATATAAAGAACTCAAAACTTAATTGAGGTTTTTTTTTTGTTTAACAAATGGGCCAAGAACAGACACTTTACAGAAGAAATATAATCGATTAAAATGCATGAAAAAACGTTCAACACATCTAGCAATTAGGAAGACGTTAATCAAAATTCGTTTAAGATTTTATCTCAGTCAGAATGGCAATGATTAATAATACAGACAACAATAAATGTTGGTGAGGATGTGGGGAAAAGGAACACATACACATTGCTCATGGGACCAACTGCAAATTTGTGCAAACACCATGGAAAGCAGTATGGAGACTGCTTGAAAAACCAGAATGGAACCACCACTTGACCCAGCTATCCCTCTCCTCGGACTATACCCAAAGGACTTAAAAACAGCATACTACAGGGACACAGCAGCACCAGTGTTTATAGCCGCACAATTCACAACAGCTAAACCATAGAACAAAGCTAGGTGTTCTTCAACAGATGAATGGATAAATAAAATGTGATTATATATATTCCCCAAAACAAGGGAATATTTAGCTTTAAAGATGAGTGAAAATATGGCTTTTGGTGGCAAATGGATGGAGTTGGAGAATATCATGCTAAGTGAAATAACCCCCCCCACACACACACCACAAAGGCCAAATATTCTCTCTGATAAGTGGATGCTAACTCACAATGGGGGGTGGGGAAGAATAGTTACTTTAGATTAAGTAGAGAGGAGTGTAGGGAGGGGAGGGAATATGGGGATAGGAAGGATAGTAGAATGAAACAGACATTACATATAATACATAATATATATATATATATATATATATATATAATACATATAATATATATATGCTAAACCAATCAAGGGTGGGGGAGAGAGTAGAAATTCAGTGGATTAGACAAAGTTGGACTGAAGGGAATAAAGGGGGAATAGAAATGACAGTAAATGAATCAGACACAACTTTTCTATGTTCATATATAAATGCACCACCAGGGAAGGTCCACACCATGTACACCTGAAGAATGGAATGCTAACTAAAATAAGTTTTACTCCATGTATGTGTCATATGGGAAGTCCTGGGCAGAGCATCCCCTCCACAGGTGAGAGTTTGAAGTCTTGTTGTAACTTGTACTTAAAAAGGGGCTGAATAAATACAAGTTAGAAAAAGGAAAGCTTCATTCTAACAGTTTGCATGACCTAGTGACCCCATGAAGAACACTACGTCCTCCCAAGAACAGGTCAGATCCCAGAGGAGGGAGTGATAGCCTTGAGATGACTAAATAAATTGGGGTTCCAATGACTGAGGCACGGAGCCAGATGCATTGAGAAATTGGCATTCTTTAGCTGTATCATCAAGGATAAGCAGACATCATGCAGGCACATTGAAAGGGAAGATCTTTAGTATTTTCCTTAGACCTCTAGTACTGAATCTTCCCTCCGGGCCTTATAAATAACTCTCATATGTAAAATGAAGCCAGTTTTCTGTGTAAAATAACATGGAGTGGACATAAGCGTGAAACCTAGAGTTACCCTTTGGAATAAAGAATGGTGTGAATATTATTCTCCTAGAATTTATCATTTCAATATTTATTTTCCCATAGAAAGTTAAATGACATGTTAGTGGGTGGTGTTTTGTTGACCCTAAGGGCTCATATATGCAGAGAACATTGTGTTTTTACTTTTTGAACAGGACTTGTAGATGAGAGTCTAGGGGTTTATTTCAATCAAAATTGTGTTTCTCTCTGTGTGGTGTCATGGGCTCCTGGAGCTGTAAGATCTGAAGAGGGACAGGGTTAGTTTATAGTTGCAGAGGGTTCTGGGAGACCATGACACATGCTATCTATCATATAATCCAATAAGTATAACAAACATTGTATTGTAAGTTATTAAGTAGAACAAAAGGCCTACAAAGTGAAAATATATAATGAAATAAAAAACTGTGGGGGCATAAATGCTCCTATAGTAAGTCTTTTTCTTTTTACAGTCATCATTTTACATGTATCTGGTTACACTTTTCTACTGGGTATCCAAGACTAAAGAGGTGGTCCTATATTGGGATGTTTTTCCTACACTTTGAGGTCAGTACAGTCTCCTCAGTGATGAACGTCATGGAATTCATGAGGAACTGCATGGTTTCTTCAGTCCAAGAATCAGGATGGGCCTATGGACCACGTGGTTTCCCCAGGAAACATTGAGACTATTTCCCCCTTCAGAAACCTTCCTTTTTTTTTTTTTTTTTTTTACCTGAATATGCACGTTGGCTCCTAGTCTCTTGGGTCTTTCTTAACTCCCTCATTGGGAGCTTATATAACTCTCCAGAGCTGTAGATCCCTTAGGGAGTACTGCAACACTACAAGGTGAAATGTTAAAGTCGTAATTCAAACTAGGAATATCTGGGCATTATTTTAGTATTCCTAGGTCCTTCCTGTAACTTAATTTTTCCATAATTACAAACAAAAGAGTATATAATTTACATAAATATTCCCCAAATAAAACTTGATTAAACATATGAAATAATTAATGGAGATGTTATAGCATTATTTACCCAATAGAATGTTTTACTATTGCATCGATCCATTAGCAAAGTGATAGTGGGAGATGTGTGACCTAATAACATCATTAAACGTGTGACAAGGTTAACATTAAGAAATTCACACTTTATTTAGTAATAAATTGTATCCATAATGCAAATATAAGTAAAAATTCTCTGTAAAATGGGCATGGTGGTCCATGCCTGTAACCCGAGGGACATGAGAATCATTGCAAGTTAAAAGCCAGGCCCCATAACTTGGTGAGGCCCTAAACAACTTAGCAAACCCTATCTCTAAATAAAAATGAAAAAAAAAATCTGGGGATGCAGTTTACTGATTAAGTGTCCCTAAGTTTAGGTACAAAAATAAAAACTAAAAATTTAAAATTTCATATAAACCTTAAAAGACTTCTGTAATAATCAACTATGAGAATTATGTTTACTCCAGTTGTGAAAAATGAGAATATGTAGTAACTGTTGATTTATAGAAAATTATATCCTTTTAGGGATGCTCTATTTCTATACTTGTATTTCCTTATTTCTACAATATCAGCTCAAGATGTTAAGAAAATTTTCAGCGAATGTCAAAAGCAATTACCCATTTTCTACATTTAAATGATTTTTCCCCTCCTAGGTCCGAAATACTTCAAAGGATGGGGTATAGATAAAAAATTTACTATAAATTTTTATACTTGTCAAGGTTTTTTTTTTTTAAATAGTTTGCTGTTATCTAAGGTACATACTTGGACAAATGCTATTCCAAATTTGGTACAGGTATGAGGCAAGAAATTGAAAAATGTGTGAAATTTGAATACACTCTTGAACACATTCTTTGGGTTTCTATATGCTATAAATACTCCAGTGTTTTAAAAATGTTTGATCAATGTCCAAAATCTTTGCAAAAATTTTTCCACATGTCCTCTCACTTGTATGAATTCTGAGGTGCTGCATAAGGTGTGAACAAGTATTGGAGACTCTGCCACCTGTTTTACACTTGTATAATTTCTGTGCTATCATATCTCTGGTGTGAAATAAGGGTTGATTCATCCTTAAAGACACTGATGCAATGTTTTCATTGTAAAACTTCTCTCCAGTATAAAATCTGTAATGTTTACTAAGATGTGATCTTCAATTTGAAAAGGTTTGCCATTCTTCACATTTATAGGACTTGTCTCTAGGATGAGTTTTCTGGTGTCGAGTAAGTGATGATTTTTGATTGAAATCCCTGCCACATTCTCTACATTTGTAGGGCTTCTCTCCAGTATGAATCCTTTTTTGATAATTATGGTGTGAAATGCTCTTAAAAGCTTCACCACATTCTTCACATTTGTAGCGCTTCTATCCAGTATGAATCTTCTCGTGGCGACTAAGATGTGAGACAGTATTAAAAGCTTTGCCACATTCTCTGCATTTGTAGGGCTTCTCTCCAGTATGAATCCTTTTGTGACGATCAAGATGTGAGATGCTATTAAAAGCTTTTGCACATTCTTTACATTTGTAGGGCTTTTCTCCAGAGTGGATTCTCTGGTGCTGAGTAAGTGGCCATCTTTCCCTAAAAGTTTTGCCACATTCTTCACATTTGTAGGGCTTCTCTCCAGTATGAATCCTTTTGTGACAATTAAGCTGTGAGATGCTCTTAAAAGCTTTTGCACATTCTTTACATTTGTAGGGCTTTTCTCCAGTGTGGATTCTCTGGTGCTGAGTAAGTGACCATCTTTGCCTAAAGGTTTTGCCACATTCTTCACATTTGTAGGGCTTCTCTCCAGTATGAATCCTTTTGTGACAATTAAGCTGTGAGATGCTCTTAAAAGCTTTTCCACATTCTTTACATTTGTAGGGCTTCTCTCCAGTGTGGATTCTCTGGTGCTGAGTAAGTGACCATCTTTGCCTAAAGGTTTTGCCACATTTTTCACACTTGTAGGGCTTCTCTCCAGTATGAATGCTTTTGTGATAATTACGGCGTGAGATGCTATTAAAAGCTTTGCCACATTCTTCACATTTGTGGGGCTTCTCTACAGTATGAATCCTCTTGTGGCAACTAAGATGTGACACAGTTTTAAAAGTGTTGCCACATTCTAAACATTTGTAGGGCTTCTCTCCAGTATGAATACTTTTGTGACGATCAAGATGTGAGATGCTATTAAACGCTTTTCCACATTCTTTACATTTGTAGAGCTTTTCTCCAGTGTGGAATCTCTGGTGCTGAGTAAGTGCACATCTTTGCCTAAAAGTTTTGCCACATTCTTCACATTTGTAGGGATTCTCTCCAGTATGAATCCTCTTGTGGCGACTAAGATGTGAGATGGTATTAAAAGCTTTGCCACATTCTCTACATTTGTAGGGCTTCTCTCCGGTGTGAATCATTTTGTGATAATTACGGGATGAGATGCTCTTAAAAACTTTGCCACATTCTTTACATTTGTAGGGCTTCTCTCCAGTGTGGATTCGCTGGTGCTGAGTAAGTGATGCTTTGTGACTAAAACTCTTGCCACACACTTTACATTTGTAGGGCTTCTCTCCAGTGTGAGTTCGCTGGTGCTCAATAAGTGATGCTTTGTGACTAAAACTTTTGCCACACACTTTACATTTGTAGGGCTTCTCTCCAGTGTGAATCCTGTTGTGTTGATTAAGCAGTGAGTTTGTGTTAAAACTTTTGCCACACACTTTACATTTGTAGGGCTTCTCTCCAGTATGAATCCTGTTGTGGCGACCAAGATGTGCGTTTGTGTTAAAGCTTTTGCCACACACTTTACATTTGAAGGGCTTCTCTCCAGTATGAATCCTGTTGTGGCGACCAAGATGTGCATTTGTGTTAAAACTTTTGCCACACACTTTACATTTGTAGGGCTTCTCTCCAGTATGAATCCTGTTGTGGCGATGAAGATTCGAGTTTATATTAAAACTCTTGCCACACACTTTACATTTGTAGGGCTTCTTTCCAGTATGAATCCTGTGGTGGTTTTTAAGGGTTGGTTTTTGACTAAAAGCTTTACAAAATTGTTTACACATGTGGGGCAGCTCTCCAGGGTGTGTCCACTGGTGACAAATAAGATTGGAGCTTTTATTAGAAGTTTTATCACACTCTTTGCATTTGCTTGGCATATCTCCTGTATGAACACTGTGATGTTGAGTAAAGTTTTTGAGTGTGTTGCATTTTTCATATTGGTAGGTGTTCTCTGCAGAATAAATTTTTTGGTGTTGAGTAAGAGTTGAATAATCTTTTAAGGCTTTGCTACACTCTTTACATTTACATGTCTTTTCTTCAGTATAAATCCCCTGATGCTTAACAAGTTGTAACCTTTCACTAAACGTTTTTTTTTTTTGCTTTCTTTTAAATTTGTAGGGTTTATCATTGTCATGGTATCTGCTTTGTTTAAAGAATATATGAAAGCATCGGCTTGCTCAACATCTTTTAAACTTATAGTGCTCTCCTTCTCTATAGATTCTCTTGTATTGAGCAAGCTCTGCACTGTGATTAAGAGCCCTTTCACATACCTTACACTTGCACGTTTTGTCTTGACTATGAATATTTGGATGAGTAATAGCTTCTGAGCACTGAAGCAAGACTTTCCCACATTTTTCATTTTGGTAAATTTTCTTTAGAAAATGACTAGGAGTTTCTCTATATTCATAATTTTATCACCAATGTAAATATCCTAGTAATTACTCAGGGTAGAGACATGGCTAATGGTGTTACTTTATAGCATTATCTATATAGTGCACTTTCCAGAAATCTGTATCAGAATTGTCATTGAGCAATAGTGGGGAAGTAGGAACCTTTCTACAAGGTTCCTTGCGCCCAAGTAGACAATATTGTCTACTTGGGTGCAAGGATAAATTACTGTTTTGTTGCAGAAAAATGGACATTTTGTAAAGAAATTCTCAAAAGTATCACTTTTAGAAATTTGTCTTAAATATCTTCTCTGTGCAAATGTTTGACTGGAAGTTTAACTTATAATTGGCCAAGATAAAAACTGATCCATGGACCATATTTCTTTTCAAATTTTCCACATTTCCTTTCAGAGAAAATAGTCTTTAAAATGGCTGTGGATATATTCTTAAAAACATATAAAGCTCCTCAAAAGTAAGAGGAATAAATTGAATTTTTTTCAGACATTAATTGTTCCTGGGGTCTTTTGACCATATAATTTTTATCATAAATAGGGACTACTAATTGGTTCTGTCTATTATAATATGATTTTTCAACTTTACTCTCACCTATATTTTCCCATTGTTTCCTTAGTTGTAAAGAGTCAAGGTCACACTTTCCATATCTTCCCTCTCTCTCTTTTATTCCCTGCTCTGGTAAAATTTCTCGAGGATGATGAGAAGTCATGGCTGAAATAAATAAAAAGAACAATCATGTTTACTTACTGTACTGGGCTGAGTATATTTTGCAGACATAGGAAATTACAGCAATAAAGGAACATTAGCAGGGGAGTGGATTATTAAATTCAAGTCCATCATTATTTGAATATTTATATATTTCTGCAGTAAAAATGTACACAGAAAATTACCTTGAACTTTCCAAATCATCTTAGTGTYCACAGTAGCCAAGATGAGTACCTTACTATGGAGAGTAATATAGTAGAGGAAGATAAATTGTGTTACACAGCCTTTTCTCCTTTACAATATATTTCCAAAATCTACCAACTTTCTTCTGTTTCATTAAAAAAAGAAAAATATGAAACATGCAAATATTTGGGAACTGTTCGAAAAGGGGTTCCTTCTTACCAAGAGAAAAAAACATGGCTAAATCAACTTTAAGAAAAGTTATGAATTACTCAAAGGGAATAGTAAATTATCATTTAAAAGTTGTTTACTGAACTAAACCAACACATAAAAAGATAGAATAAAATTTAGCCAAGAATTGTTAATAGTAATAAGCAGAAAATATGTGTTTACAGTCTTTCTTTAGAAAATGTCTGAAAGAGTCAGGGGTGGTTGTACACAGCAACATAGGAGGTTGMGCCAGAGGATCCAAATTTCAAGGCCAAAGTAAAAAATGCAAATTAAGTTCTCTTTCCAGTACTAATAAACACATCTAAGAAAATAGGAAAAATAAAACTTCCAGGTAGCTCACTTATCTCCAAGTTGCAGGTTTTAATCCAAGTTTTAAAACTCAGAATATTGAGAGCATCCAAGAGAAAAAGATGGGTCACCTAGAAATGTGTAACTATATATTTGTGAAATCCTTAGTTGAAACTTCACAACACAGAAAGGAATTCAGGGCTATTTTCAAGGGATGAAAGAATAAAATTTTCAACCAAGACATAGTATTCACAGCTACTATCTTTCAAAAGAGAAGGAAGATGTAGACTTTAAAGATATAAAAATGCACACCCTACTCATCAACACTAGATCTGTTCTCCACAAAGTATGAAAGGTAATCCTTCATACTAAAATGTAAGTGTGCACAGCAACACAAGTCATATGAAATTCTTAATATTTCTTGGCACAAACAATTCTATTTTATTGTAATGATGGGTCTCAAAACATGTAATTTTGAATAGAATTTGAAAGACAAAAGAATAAAAACAAAACTGTTAATAGGCATATATACCTGTAACAATAATATAATTTTGAAAGGATACATAAATATATTCAATTTTTTTAATAAAGTGAAGTCAAGTTAATACTCAAAGTATGAGTAGGAGATTCTTCATTTATAGATTTTTTTTTTTGGTTGGCAAATGCAATATTACAAAATCTGATCAAAACAAACCTTGGCTAAGTCTAAGGACACACACATGCTGAAAGCAAAGGGTTATTAGAAGGACACATACAAAAGTGACTGAGCTAAACCTGGGCTGTCTAAATTATACTACACAAAACATAGTTTAAGACAGTTACAGGACATAGAAGACGTTTCAAATTTTAAAAAACCTTTAAGAGGCAAAATAGAGAAAAAGAACCTTTTCCTAGTTTCTGAATTAAGAGTAAAGATATTTGCAATGAACATCCACTCCCCAAACACACAAAGAAAACATTGAGAAAGTTGAATGAAACCCAAGAATCACTGTCATCCTAGGAGACATCAATCCCCACTTACTGAAAAGGGAAATACAGTGAAGAAAAATGGTAATTGCAAAGCATAAGAATTTGAAAATATTTTGAAACTATTGTTGACTTATAGAATTCCTGTTCTTAATCACAAATGGGATATTATGCTGGATAGACTAATTTTATGTATTAAAACAAAGGTTAATAAATATTTAAGTGGTAGTTATTTTGTAACTAACATGGAATAAAAATTTGAAGTCAAAAGTGATAGGGATGTTCAAAAATCAAAAAATGTGTCAGTTGATCACTCTTGGGCATGCTGCTGTTCAAGATATGAAAGATAACTTTAAGTAGTATAAACATCTTTTAATTTTAGAGGCTCCAGRTAATATTCAAACTCCAATTGTTAATTTTTTTTTTGCAGAGAAATCTGTCCTTTAAACTGTATGAATATCCCCCAAAATACCAATAAGATTAGAAGAATATTTTCCTGCTTAAAAAAATATACTAAAAGTTACAGCATTCAATTGTAAACGCAGACATGGAGTCAGGTAGTTCTGAGTGAGTGTTGTAATAAGCCCTGATATCAATAGCAAATTAAAAACATTGAACACCAGTGTTGTACAATGTTATTAAACAGAGCCATCATGGGGGATGCAACCCAAATATCCCTTGAAAAGAAAGGATCAGCCAATTTAGAATATTAAACTATAGAACTTTGAAAGAATTTATTCTAACTATATATCTTACAAAATGTATGTACACTTGGTTAACTGAAATATGTCACAGAAAGAATACTGCAGAATTATATGAATATAACATCTCTAAACTAAAAAATCTTTGAGAAAAAGAGAATGTTTTTGTGATGGGGAGACAGAAATGAGCCCTTGCTTCCTAGGAATTGATTTTTTTT